CCTTCTAGCATTACATTTTTCTTTTTTCAGATCTTTGGCTAATTAGAAGCACATCCTTAATAGGAAAGGAGAGAAAATACTTTCTTATCCCTTTTAATTCATCTTCATTACGAACTCTAATGGCTCCTCCCACTAGCTTAACTAACTACCCACTGTTAGTAAATCAATCAATCACTCAATAAAGATAGCATTTATTTCCATATATATAGACAACTGCATGCATCCAATCTACCTGGAATGATTATGAGAATGTGTGAAAAAGGACATAAGGAAAAGAAAGATACAGGTTTTAAGAGATGATAAAAACATCAAATTTTTGAGAAAATAATTAAGTTACAGTGATCTCTCACTCCCCATATGACAAAAAACTATGGACACTAGAAATTCATTGCTGGTTTTATTTACTGTCTCTAAACAGCTGATCTAACATAAGACCTTTTCTGACATTAAGCTGAGCCATGGATGCTTTTTGTCTGAGATGGTATTTCATACATCCAAATAATCCATAATTTCTCTAAAGCCCAATAACTGATTTTTTTCTTACAAAAAAAAAAAATGTATCGATCTGGTAGCACAAATAGATACAGTATACTTACAGCCATTAGTATCATAGTGTCAATAATTTTCCAAAAATTTATAAATTTTTATATTTTTCTTCCATAAATTAGTTGTAGATAACATAAAATTTATTATTTGTAGATAAAATTTTTGTCCAGTCTTAAGTTAAACCAATTAAAATATGTCTAAACAGAAAGTCTTCAAAGATCCCTTAGCCTTCAGCTTAACAGCCATCCACAGACACACAAAATACCACAATAAGTCTAGAACAGGAAGTGACAAATAAATACCACTTCCAGTTATGACTGGAACATAAACGAGCATAGGGGAGGTCTCAAACCTAAACTTCAGCCAGGATACCAGGATTGTTGAGAACTTCCTTCCAAGAGAACTAAAGAATGTTAAGGTGAATAACGTGGTCAAGACTTGAAGTTTTATTTCTCAGCTAAGAAATATGGCATGTTTGGACTCTCTTCTCTTAATGGATGAAAGATACAATTTCAACTTTTAATGAATTGGTGTGCTAAGTCAAAAGGGCCAGTGCTGGAATTATAAATAACAGTCTGAAATCAAATTAATCTTCACAATATAGACTGACCTGTGAACCAAGAAGGATTTATAGATTAGGCTCTGGACTTTTTCTTACCCACTCTACCCAAGAGGGGATACAATAGCCAGAAGAATTTCCTATAGGGAACCACAAACCCTAATACCTCTGGTACCACCTGCATGTCCTTCTGCCCCAGAGTTGGCCCACTCCAACTCCATTTAATCTTGAGCACCAATGGGTGTACAACTGCACCTAACCACTGAATTTCACAACATAACTTGAGACAAACTGAACCTGAAAGGCTATTTTATGGATATTTTGCCTCCTTTCCTGCACGTAATACAATCCATCCACTGACTAGCAGTATTTGACTCTTCTAATCCTCACTACCATACTTCCTTTGGTATCCTTATTAAGGAGAGTATGGCTAAGAGCATTCGGCAAAGAAAATAGGTCTTTCTTAATCATTTGTATTGTTCATAACAAATGTAATGGAAGCTTAGAACAATCTTGAGTCTTGTTTGTGAGTTTTGTTCGTATCTTCACAAAAAATGTGGTATTTTCGTCTTACTATATTTTTATCCATCTATTTCAGGTAATTATTCAAATTCAAGTCTTCATTATTCCAAAGTCATGCAAAATCTAATTTTAAAAAAGGGGGGGTCACAAATTATAACATTTGTGGTATGCATGTCTCTACAGTAAATTTGCCACCATATAATGCTAAAAATTTGAACTTTGGAAAATAAAGCATATATTTCATTTCATTCCTTGCTTTGTTAACTAATGTTAAAATCTTTATTTTATAAGAAATTTGCTTGTTTTTCCATTGTTTTTGGCTTTAATTAAAATGAAAAAACAGTGCTTTCAACACTTGAAGGAACCATCAACTATCTGAGATTGACCTATAATTAAAATCATAAAATGTCATGCATCATTAAATATACTGAAAATACCTAGTATGTTGTCTTCTGAGTGCTCCATGAGGGCTAATTCATTTTAGCTATAACTAATTTCCAGTAGAAAGAAAGCTACTATACTTTTGAACATATTGACAAATAAGTCTTTCAGTTTGGTGGAGGTCAAGTGATTGAACAGGAACTACTGCCTCGGCACATACATATAAATCCTTTAAGAGAAAATCTGAAATTGAGGGTCCTGGATTTCCACACTTAATTTATTTCACTATGATACATCTGCAGAGTAGAAATAAGACTCCCTCTTTATCCAGCCTTCAAGTTCAGTCATATATTTTTTTATTTGAAATGAACTAAAGCTGATTTAGAGCGGACAGGCCTTTTGGAATACCCTAAGGGCTTTCATTTCTTAAACGATATGCTAAAGCTTGGAATCTACCCAAACCTCCTTGAAGCACCCTCTGCAAAGTTTAATCTAATTTAAATTAACTTATTCCTTAGCACAAAATGCTCTTTTTCTCATTTCTTTTTATTTTTTGAGTGAGCCCCTGGACATATTTTTGTGTTTCTAAACATGTGGGTGCTGGAACAATTTAGAAAGAAAAACACCACATATTTCTCTATTTCAGTCACATTTAAAGCAGTGGCAAAAAGCATAATTCTGAGAACTCTTGGCCCTCACACGAGGCAAACAATTTCACAATATGCAAATGATTTAGCAGCAATATAGTCATAGTTCCCACCAAATGTTTCTCTGGACACATTCTTAAAAGTGATGGGCCAAAACTCTTCACTTTTTCTATCTATTTCTGTCTGTGTACTGCTTACTTTCAAATATTCACTTTGCAAGTAAAAGTAATATTAAATATATATTTGCCAATAAGCATTTATGTACACAAGTGCAATTCTGCAGTCATAAGACAGAGTATATGTATCTAACAGACCTTTCTGGTAAATTTCTGAACATGCATCTGCTCCCTCTACTAGGGCTCTACCCCAAGGAAGTTGTAAGTGTAATATAGAATTTTCTAAACAAAAATAGTGTGGAACTATTTCTGATCATGTATGGTAATTGACTATGAATTAATCAACTTCCCTAAACTAAAATCTTAAATATGTACAGTTTTTAGTTGGCTAGGATATAACTGAAGAAAATGAAGATGCTGGATGAAACTTGCAGTGTTAAAGAACTGAATACAAAATGCTTCTTCTAGTAATGACAATGAAATTATTTTGAAAGGCTTGAAGGGCATGAAGATCCATTCTTGAAGACACCTACCACATGCATGCTTCACCTACTCTCTAGGTTTTGTATTTACTTTTGCTGGGATTATTTCTCCTACTAGTAAACCCCAGCACATTACCAGAAGTTTCTCTCTCTCTCTCTCTCTCTCATTTACACAAGCAAATTTCAGCTATACGTTTTGCATTGAATATTACCTGAATGAGAAAGTCCTTGAAATCAGAGAAGGATGTGCAATATGTCAAAATGAGCTATTCATCCCTGGTGATTATTAGGGAGTGTCACAAGAGAAGAAATGTACCCAAGAGGGTCCTGAAAAATTCCAACTCTGGGAATTGTGTTCTATCTAAAGACTCTCCGTCATTTCAGCAGCCCATTCATTTACTCAAAAAGTATTTATCAGGTGCTATTATATCAGCACTGTGTTAACATCAGCAAAGCATTAAATCTTCAAAGTAGTTTCTTACTCTACACATATGTTGACACATTTAGGTGGGGCCTTAAATTCTCTACTCAGCTAAATACTTTAGTTTCCTTCTAAGTAATTTGTCATTTTCTGGCACACTTAAGTGGGTTTTATTTTTCATCAATGGAATTCTACCATATATGAAAGCATCTACATAAGTGTCCAAATCATAAAGAATAGAGATAACAAAATCCAAGCATTCCAGATTTCAATATTATTCCAGAACTAAATTGCTGCAGTTAAACTTCTACAGAGCACAAACAAATCATTTTCAGCTTTGGCTACACCCAAAGGCTAATCGGACCTTAGGTCTCCAGTAGAATAACTTGTACTTCTTTCAGTGTTTCAGACAAAAGAAGGAAATGGCCATAATCTGCCCTCACTGGAAACTCTAGCATCATGGGAATTTTCCCAGGCGGCTTTGTGCAAGTCTAAGGAAGCTTCAAGCATGTCATAATTACAGCTACTGTTCATTAAATGTTTATTGTGCCAAGCACTTTACATTTAATATTCAGCTTCAAAGCATCCCTGCAGTGTTTAAATATCATAGTTTCTATATTCCCAAGGTGAGGCTCAGAAACGTTAGGTAACTTGGCCTAAGTCTACACAATTTGCAAGTGATGGATCTGTGGCGATGCATTAATACTCTGCTTCCCTCGTTAGTTTTCTAGGTAACATGTTTCTACGTTCAGAAAAAAAAGAAAGAAAAATCACCTACCTAGACCCCATGAAGGTTGGGGAGAGAGATGGGGACCGATAATGCTATCTGAACTGATGGAGCAAGAAAAAGAAAAATCCGCGAAAGAACAAAGCAGTCGCAGCAGCCTGGGTTAAGGAGCAAGACTCGCTCGCCTTGAAGGGCCTTGGGTTTCCTTTTAAAACCTTGCGGTTGCGCCGGCACAGGGCGCGGTGCGTGAGAGAACAGTATGACCGGGGATGGCTGGCTGCGTGGGGGTCGGAGCGTCAGCTTCTCAGCTCCCCTTCCTCCCTTTACCCTCACTCCCCGCGCCAGCTCCCAGCGGGCAGCGGGGGCAGCGGGGAGCTTCCCTGCCAGCGCGGGTGGGGCCGGGAGACAGATGGGTGCTGCTGACTGATGGGGGCGGCCGAGCGCGAGGGCGCGTCGTCGCCGCTGGGCCTCGGGATCCGGCCGCTCACCCAGCGCAGGCTCAGGGCGGGGTCGGGAGGCACACCTCCGCCCAAGGGCTGGCTCGGGGTCCCGGAGCCTCCACCCAGGCGGTCGTTACTAGAAATTCATTGCTGGTTTTATTTACTGTCTCTAAACAGCTGATCTAACATAAGACCTTTTCTGACATTAAGCTGAGCCATGGATGCTTTTTGTCTGAGATGGTATTTCATACATCCAAATAATCCATAATTTCTCTAAAGCCCAATAACTGATTTTTTTCTTACAAAAAAAAAAAATGTATCGATCTGGTAGCACAAATAGATACAGTATACTTACAGCCATTAGTATCATAGTGTCAATAATTTTCCAAAAATTTATAAATTTTTATATTTTTCTTCCATAAATTATTTGTAGATAACATAAAATTTATTATTTGTAGATAAAATTTTTGTCCAGTCTTAAGTTAAACCAATTAAAATATGTCTAAACAGAAAGTCTTCAAAGATCCCTTAGCCTTCAGCTTAACAGCCATCCACAGACACACAAAATACCACAATAAGTCTAGAACAGGAAGTGACAAATAAATACCACTTCCAGTTATGACTGGAACATAAACGAGCATAGGGGAGGTCTCAAACCTAAACTTCAGCCAGGATACCAGGATTGTTGAGAACTTCCTTCCAAGAGAACTAAAGAATGTTAAGGTGAATAACGTGGTCAAGACTTGAAGTTTTATTTCTCAGCTAAGAAATATGGCATGTTTGGACTCTCTTCTCTTAATGGATGAAAGATACAATTTCAACTTTTAATGAATTGGTGTGCTAAGTCAAAAGGGCCAGTGCTGGAATTATAAATAACAGTCTGAAATCAAATTAATCTTCACAATATAGACTGACCTGTGAACCAAGAAGGATTTATAGATTAGGCTCTGGACTTTTTCTTACCCACTCTACCCAAGAGGGGATACAATAGCCAGAAGAATTTCCTATAGGGAACCACAAACCCTAATACCTCTGGTACCACCTGCATGTCCTTCTGCCCCAGAGTTGGCCCACTCCAACTCCATTTAATCTTGAGCACCAATGGGTGTACAACTGCACCTAACCACTGAATTTCACAACATAACTTGAGACAAACTGAACCTGAAAGGCTATTTTATGGATATTTTGCCTCCTTTCCTGCACGTAATACAATCCATCCACTGACTAGCAGTATTTGACTCTTCTAATCCTCACTACCATACTTCCTTTGGTATCCTTATTAAGGAGAGTATGGCTAAGAGCATTCGGCAAAGAAAATAGGTCTTTCTTAATCATTTGTATTGTTCATAACAAATGTAATGGAAGCTTAGAACAATCTTGAGTCTTGTTTGTGAGTTTTGTTCGTATCTTCACAAAAAATGTGGTATTTTCGTCTTACTATATTTTTATCCATCTATTTCAGGTAATTATTCAAATTCAAGTCTTCATTATTCCAAAGTCATGCAAAATCTAATTTTAAAAAAGGGGGGGTCACAAATTATAACATTTGTGGTATGCATGTCTCTACAGTAAATTTGCCACCATATAATGCTAAAAATTTGAACTTTGGAAAATAAAGCATATATTTCATTTCATTCCTTGCTTTGTTAACTAATGTTAAAATCTTTATTTTATAAGAAATTTGCTTGTTTTTCCATTGTTTTTGGCTTTAATTAAAATGAAAAAACAGTGCTTTCAACACTTGAAGGAACCATCAACTATCTGAGATTGACCTATAATTAAAATCATAAAATGTCATGCATCATTAAATATACTGAAAATACCTAGTATGTTGTCTTCTGAGTGCTCCATGAGGGCTAATTCATTTTAGCTATAACTAATTTCCAGTAGAAAGAAAGCTACTATACTTTTGAACATATTGACAAATAAGTCTTTCAGTTTGGTGGAGGTCAAGTGATTGAACAGGAACTACTGCCTCGGCACATACATATAAATCCTTTAAGAGAAAATCTGAAATTGAGGGTCCTGGATTTCCACACTTAATTTATTTCACTATGATACATCTGCAGAGTAGAAATAAGACTCCCTCTTTATCCAGCCTTCAAGTTCAGTCATATATTTTTTTATTTGAAATGAACTAAAGCTGATTTAGAGCGGACAGGCCTTTTGGAATACCCTAAGGGCTTTCATTTCTTAAACGATATGCTAAAGCTTGGAATCTACCCAAACCTCCTTGAAGCACCCTCTGCAAAGTTTAATCTAATTTAAATTAACTTATTCCTTAGCACAAAATGCTCTTTTTCTCATTTCTTTTTATTTTTTGAGTGAGCCCCTGGACATATTTTTGTGTTTCTAAACATGTGGGTGCTGGAACAATTTAGAAAGAAAAACACCACATATTTCTCTATTTCAGTCACATTTAAAGCAGTGGCAAAAAGCATAATTCTGAGAACTCTTGGCCCTCACACGAGGCAAACAATTTCACAATATGCAAATGATTTAGCAGCAATATAGTCATAGTTCCCACCAAATGTTTCTCTGGACACATTCTTAAAAGTGATGGGCCAAAACTCTTCACTTTTTCTATCTATTTCTGTCTGTGTACTGCTTACTTTCAAATATTCACTTTGCAAGTAAAAGTAATATTAAATATATATTTGCCAATAAGCATTTATGTACACAAGTGCAATTCTGCAGTCATAAGACAGAGTATATGTATCTAACAGACCTTTCTGGTAAATTTCTGAACATGCATCTGCTCCCTCTACTAGGGCTCTACCCCAAGGAAGTTGTAAGTGTAATATAGAATTTTCTAAACAAAAATAGTGTGGAACTATTTCTGATCATGTATGGTAATTGACTATGAATTAATCAACTTCCCTAAACTAAAATCTTAAATATGTACAGTTTTTAGTTGGCTAGGATATAACTGAAGAAAATGAAGATGCTGGATGAAACTTGCAGTGTTAAAGAACTGAATACAAAATGCTTCTTCTAGTAATGACAATGAAATTATTTTGAAAGGCTTGAAGGGCATGAAGATCCATTCTTGAAGACACCTACCACATGCATGCTTCACCTACTCTCTAGGTTTTGTATTTACTTTTGCTGGGATTATTTCTCCTACTAGTAAACCCCAGCACATTACCAGAAGTTTCTCTCTCTCTCTCTCTCTCTCATTTACACAAGCAAATTTCAGCTATACGTTTTGCATTGAATATTACCTGAATGAGAAAGTCCTTGAAATCAGAGAAGGATGTGCAATATGTCAAAATGAGCTATTCATCCCTGGTGATTATTAGGGAGTGTCACAAGAGAAGAAATGTACCCAAGAGGGTCCTGAAAAATTCCAACTCTGGGAATTGTGTTCTATCTAAAGACTCTCCGTCATTTCAGCAGCCCATTCATTTACTCAAAAAGTATTTATCAGGTGCTATTATATCAGCACTGTGTTAACATCAGCAAAGCATTAAATCTTCAAAGTAGTTTCTTACTCTACACATATGTTGACACATTTAGGTGGGGCCTTAAATTCTCTACTCAGCTAAATACTTTAGTTTCCTTCTAAGTAATTTGTCATTTTCTGGCACACTTAAGTGGGTTTTATTTTTCATCAATGGAATTCTACCATATATGAAAGCATCTACATAAGTGTCCAAATCATAAAGAATAGAGATAACAAAATCCAAGCATTCCAGATTTCAATATTATTCCAGAACTAAATTGCTGCAGTTAAACTTCTACAGAGCACAAACAAATCATTTTCAGCTTTGGCTACACCCAAAGGCTAATCGGACCTTAGGTCTCCAGTAGAATAACTTGTACTTCTTTCAGTGTTTCAGACAAAAGAAGGAAATGGCCATAATCTGCCCTCACTGGAAACTCTAGCATCATGGGAATTTTCCCAGGCGGCTTTGTGCAAGTCTAAGGAAGCTTCAAGCATGTCATAATTACAGCTACTGTTCATTAAATGTTTATTGTGCCAAGCACTTTACATTTAATATTCAGCTTCAAAGCATCCCTGCAGTGTTTAAATATCATAGTTTCTATATTCCCAAGGTGAGGCTCAGAAACGTTAGGTAACTTGGCCTAAGTCTACACAATTTGCAAGTGATGGATCTGTGGCGATGCATTAATACTCTGCTTCCCTCGTTAGTTTTCTAGGTAACATGTTTCTACGTTCAGAAAAAAAAGAAAGAAAAATCACCTACCTAGACCCCATGAAGGTTGGGGAGAGAGATGGGGACCGATAATGCTATCTGAACTGATGGAGCAAGAAAAAGAAAAATCCGCGAAAGAACAAAGCAGTCGCAGCAGCCTGGGTTAAGGAGCAAGACTCGCTCGCCTTGAAGGGCCTTGGGTTTCCTTTTAAAACCTTGCGGTTGCGCCGGCACAGGGCGCGGTGCGTGAGAGAACAGTATGACCGGGGATGGCTGGCTGCGTGGGGGTCGGAGCGTCAGCTTCTCAGCTCCCCTTCCTCCCTTTACCCTCACTCCCCGCGCCAGCTCCCAGCGGGCAGCGGGGGCAGCGGGGAGCTTCCCTGCCAGCGCGGGTGGGGCCGGGAGACAGATGGGTGCTACTGACTGATGGGGGCGGCCGAGCGCGAGGGCGCGTCGTCGCCGCTGGGCCTCGGGATCCGGCCGCTCACCCAGCGCAGGCTCAGGGCGGGGTCGGGAGGCACACCTCCGCCCAAGGGCTGGCTCGGGGTCCCGGAGCCTCCACCCAGGCGGTCGTTTGCTCGAAGACTGGGCCTGGGCCTGCGCCGTGGCCCGCGGGGGCTCTAGGCCCTGTGCAGAGGCCGCGCTGCTCCGCAGGGGTCTGTTGGCGGAAGGCCTGAGGCCGCGGGTTTTCCTTCCCACCTCGGGTTGACTGAAGACAGACGTAACCGTGGCGGCGGCGGCGGCGGCCCACGCCGCCTTGAGGCACAGGAAGCTTGGGACGCGGCGTGGAAGCCCGCCCTGAGGGGCACCCCGGCCTCTCGCGCCCAGCTCTCTCCCCTCTCTCCCCTCTTCACTGGTTGAGAAAGCCTGCCAGCCGCAGCCCCAACCCTCTCCCTTCTCCTCCCCCATCCTGCGCCGGGCTCCGCTTTCCCTCCATCAACTCCAGGCCGAATTCAATCCGAGAAGGCTTCTTTGAGCTTTTGTGTTTGCTGGAGGAGATGTGGGCGCAAGAGGGATCGCGTTACAACTTTCATTTCCTGAAATGTTTGAGGGAACATCCAGGGTTTTTATCCCCCCATCAGGCCGGGTGACGGGCTCGGGTTTCAGGCCTTGTCACTCAGCTGTCACCAAACAAACGAAGCTCTCAGAGCCCTGGAGAGGTAGAGCTACCTGCTATTCATGACCCCTGGAGCAGGTGATCGCTCATGGGAAAAACAGGTAGAATTAATCATCGGGCTGTTCTCTGTTTCCTCTTCTTTTTGGCAGACCTGCCCACAATGTGAAACCTGTCAGAAAACAAATTAACTCTTTCTTGTCGCCCAGGGGAACATGAAATACATTTTCAGAAAACCCAACACATACATTCACACCAAAAGACTCGAATGAGAGTAGAAGGGAACGAATTTACATTCTGCTCTACTTTGCAGTTTCTTAGTTTGTGGGGTTCCCATCTTTAGTGAGACTTGGAACAAGGGGAACCAGGGGAGAGTGGGGCATCTTCCTGTCACCTGATTCTACCTAATGAAAGGAACCCCAGGTGTAGTCTCTGAATTTAGGCAGACTGACATTTCCTTCCTGCTGGGATGTCAACGCAGCTGGGCTTGATCCCAGTAAAAGGAAAACCTCTACCCTAACAGGAGCCGTTAAGAAATTTCTGTAAATAGGTGTTTCCTTTCCCCCAGACTCCTCCCTAAGTCAACCTTGTTGAACATCCATAGTGGGCCCTGCATTAGAAAATCCAAACGATTTCAAAATTTCCCCCATTCATTTCATTCCTAACTGAATTCACAAGTAATTTTTTTTAATTGGCTCTTGCCTTAGTTGAACAAAAGCAGAAAGGGTAGCACACGGGCATTCTTTATTGTGTGGCTACCATTTAATTGCTACTTGTTAAATATTATAATACAAGTTTTAAACCATATATTTCCAATTTTTTCTACTTTTATTTTTCCTATATATTTCCTAGAAAATAAAAATAAGAGGGAAACAGGAAATGTATACAGATCTGTTTCTAAGATATATTAATGATGTAGAAGTCAGCCAGGATAGATTGGGAGCCTTAAATCAGATTGATATTTTTAAAACAGAAGTATGGTAAATGGCCTGCATTGTCATTTGGCCTTTTAGTTTTTCCATAAAGAATTTTTTTTTGTATGATAAGTTGGCATATACCGATTGTAAAACAATCTTTCTGGCTTTCTTTATGAAGATTTTGTCTGTTTATTTAAAAACAGCCATTGGTTCCAGATTCCCAGAACTGATTCTCTTAGATTAGCTATTTGTACTCGGAGGTAAAGCCCTGAGCAATATTATTCTTCAATTAAAATCAAGAACTTGACTTTAGGAGGAAGCATGCTATGTTTATATAGCATCAGCAATGCATAGAAAATATTCGCCACAATATCTGGAGACAAGGCTTCAATTGTTTAAATGTTCTTTTCACTTCATAGATACTAAGACACATTGACTATCCAGCTTAATCTTTTTAAAGCTTGTTACCTCCCTTCATATTCATGGCATTCTAAATAAATACAAAGCTAATGCTTCTTCCTTGCTACCTCCTTGACTTAGAGGTAAAGTTGCCTTTTGTAAGGTAGTGCAGACTGTGACCTCATCCTCAAAATGTGTATTTTCAGTACAAGCACTGTACGTTTCTTTTCTCCTCTACCAACTACACCACTATCACACACCAAAAAAAGCTGCAAAACTTAAGGAAAACATTACTGCATACTGATGCTTACAGTTTAAATTTAATATCTGTGTGAGGATCAACTAAAGATGTCACAGTTATGTGGGTTTAATTTGGTTTCTTGTTTATTCACAGCCCCATTGCCTTTCCTTGCAGTTAGATCATTTGGATAACTGGTAACTCAAATAAAAATTGAAGTGTTGCAAAGCAGCTAAAGCCATACCTTAAGGAAGAAGAAAAGAAGAGTACTTGAGTGCATGAAAACGCTTAATGTAAAGAACACCTAGAAAGTTGGTTTTATGGGCTTGCTGGCTAGAATCTGCAGAATTTGTATTAGGGATGCTGACTGACTAGCTCTATGAAATATTAAAGGATGTTTTTATTATTGTCCTAAAACAATTTAAAGGCCTGTCTCAAAAGTATGTAATCTAGGACTGTTCTTTCAAGACCCCACATACCTATCAGCTCAAGGCCTGAACCACCTCCTTCCCAAATGTATCTATTATAAATAAACCATGGCATTTAAAAAGCCATAATCAATTTTAAATCCTAAATTAAAATAAATAGTATATTAAAATATATTTGCCTTGTGTTAATCCATGAGTATTTCTATTTGGATCTGCTTAGTTGTCCCATAAAGGATTTGTCTTCTGAGTTAGGGAGGGTGGGAAGGACAGGGGACCAGATCAAGGAGCTGTTTACCTACTCCCATGACTCTTTACTAAAGTAAGTAAAAGGCTAGAATCTTTTCACTTACCTGTCTTTTTAATCACAGTTAATGGCAGAGAAGGGAGAGCAGTCATTATCACCTAATTATATTCTCATTACAATTGGATAGCCGCTTCTGGTACACTCAAGTGTGTGTTAAATCTGAAGTTAATCTTTTTTCTCTTTCAAAGATAAAATGATTTGGGTTTTTGGTTTTTTGTTTGCTTTTGTTAGGGTTTTCTTTCCACATTTTCCTGTTTAATCATGGGGTGGGGGTTGTGATTTTAAGAAAATTTTAGTGTTATGGAAAAGGAAAACAGTGAGTGCTTTTCCAAAAGGAAAGATAGGAAATAAGACTTCAGGTAGCAAAGCAACAGAGGGGAGCAAACCTTAAGGTGGTTGTGCTCCACCTGCTGAGAACTGGGGTCTCAGCTGTTCATTAGCAAGTTAAAAGGAGTGAAGCTGAAATTCAGATTGGGGAAGGGGCCAGGTGGGTGTCCACGCGCCTCAAGCAGTCTTTCTCTTTGTTTTTAAACGCTACTGCAGTGTTGTTCCTCACTGTCTGAAAGGACCAGTGTCTAAAACACTGATTGTCATCCTCAGTGGGAGAACAGGTTTCCAATTTCATCAGCTGGAACGAAGTTGTGTGTGTATACTCCGTTTAAAACACTAGAAAACGCGGCCTTTCCAGGGCAGCGCTTTTTCTGGGTAAACGATAAGCCAACAATTCGCCCACGATTTTGGCTCTTTTTGTCCTGGCTGTCCAGGTGGAGTTATTGGATTCAGTCAGACTGGAGGAGGGATATACTACCACTCTGAGGGGCTCAGAAGTCCCCAATGAAGTTTCAGAGCATGCCCGCAGGGCTAAAGGACTGAGCTCTCTTGCACCTTTAATGCTACTTGCCCCTGGGGGCGAAATGGGCACAGACACTAGTTTCACTGGCTTTGGCGGCTGTAGGAGGCAATATGGGAGAAGATTAAAGGTTCCACTTCTGAAGAGAGCTCAGAAAAAGGAGAAATGGGGTAGAGAGAGCGCGTGGGCCACTCGAGACTCTCCTCACCTTAACCCTGACCCACCTGTCCCTGTCAATCGTTACCTACCCCACCAAAGAGGGGCAGAATGTGAACCTCTACAGCCCGCCCGACCCCCGACCCCCTCCAGAACGCTCTGCGGGCGGCCGCCGGAGCCTTCCTGCTGGGGCCCCGAGGTCCATGCGTGGGGAAGAGGTTGATGCTCGACCCAAGGCCACGGGACAATAGCAAAACATCCGACCGGGCACCACCAAAGAAGAAGAGCTGCCGCCCTGTCCTACCCGAGACTCCAGAAACCAGGGCCGCTCTTCTCGGTTGTTGAAGTTCTAACAACAGCTCGGGAAGGGGCTCCCTCTCTGTGACGCCGCCAAGGGAGCGGGTGAGAAGCCCAGGTCCAACAGGCAAGGCGGAGGCCGCAGGAAGCAAAGATGTGCTGTATCTGAAGCAGGAAGGGCAGCCGGCAATGGGCGCAGGACCTAGGCCGCCTTCCGACCAGGCTCCGAAGCCTGAGACGGCGGCTCTGGCCCCAAAGCGCGGTGTCGGACAACCAGAGCTCACACCTGCGGCCCGAGCCCCGCGCACATGCCTCGTCTACAACTTAAGACTCGAAGAGGGAGACCCGGACTTGGGCCTGCCAGGTGGCTCCGGGGTGCCCAACACGACAACGTTGTCCCACGATGCTCAGGCCGCGGCCTCCTCCATTGTCTGGGCCCTAGTGGCCAGCCTCGCAACCTGTGCTCCCAGGGGCTCCCCGGGCCCGGCGGCTGGAGCTGCTTTGGGATGCGGGCCCCCGGGACACGCGATTCTCTGAACTGATGAAGAAGAGGCCGCGCAGGTGCGGGAAGGAGAGGCAGCCGCGCCCTTCTCCTCCTTGCCTCTCCGCGCCTCGGGAGGGCAGTGGCACGAATGGCCTCCGGAGTCTGCGGGAGTTCTGCATGCGCACTTTACCAAAGACCTCCAGGCAGGGGGAGGTGGTAGAAGTGAAGCCCCCTTCAACCGCAAACGCCACGACCGCGCTGGCTGTAGCAGAACAGAGGAAGGGCCGCTCCGCCCGGGTTCAGGGCCAGGTATCCGACTGGCCCTCAGTCTGCGGGGAGAGCGGCGTGACAAGGGTCATTGCTCCGCAAACTGGGAGTTCGCTCCTAAGCGCCAATGCTACTGCCTCTTCCTGGTAGCTTCCACTTCAGCTCGGGGCCAAGACCAAGGTTCAAGACCGGCAGAGCCCGGCCCCTGCAGTGCCTTTCTCCCTGCCCGCAGCTCATGGGGCTCTGGGGACTCTTGGGTGCCTACTGCTAAACCAGAGCCTCGGGAACCGCCAGCCAAGGCCTTTGGACTCTAGTTTTTAGGCAGTTTCATTCTCAGTTAAGAGATCAAGTCAAGCAGGTAGTCAGGACCCGAACTGTCATATATTCAGATTTAAAAAGAAAAAAATTACCCTAGTATTTTTTTTCATTTTACTAGGCAAAATGCTGTCAGGTTTCCTCCTAAAAACTATTTATAAGCCGTTGTTCCTTACTTGGTAAAGTTATGAAATCTGTAGAGGAGAAAGTAAAAGTAGCTTTTGAGTCAAACTGCATTGCAGAGAAGGTAAATTGGAGGTCCCTTTACAGCTGGTCCTCAAAGAGTTCCTCGAGGAAAAAAAAATATGGTTAGTTCCCCCTAATGATCGCTCTTAAATGATTGCCAAGAAAATTCAAAGCAATATCCAGCTTTCTCGCCTTCTGCTTGTCCCTAGTTTAGCCAGACGAGCCGAGGGCGGCAGAGGGAGGCATATTGTGCAATTTCTTATTAAACACATCTGGAATATGCACGCTCTAGATCGGGTGCCAGGGATTTTACAAAGGGTTTATGGCTGTGACAGAAAATTGTCCTTTTAACAAGTTTACAAGCCGTAATCACAGGGGCTTTTACAGAACCGACAGCTCTGCTCCTCACCAGATCTGCAGACATTTCCAAGATTCACCAACCGAGGAAGCAGGAAGTGGGCCGGAGCGCCCAGAGACAGAACTTCCAAGGTCTAAAATTATACTAAGCAGAGCTCCAAGAGTGGGGGGTGGTTATCGGAGTAGGAAGAGAGAGCATGTAAGAAATTAAAGTAATTGGCCCTTCCTTATTTTCCAGGGAGATTTCCGCGGTGTCCTTTGAAGCCTGTCAGGGTCATTGAAAGCTATCTTTGTGCAGGGTGTTTGTTTTGGGGAGTGAATGTGAAGAATGTGCAGAGATCCCCTGTGAGAGCCCCTCCTGCAGAGGGTGGCATTTCTCCGTGGCCCAAGACGTGGAGAATAAACACCCTAGTGACTTAAATAAACACCGACTTAATGATCCAAAACACTAACAAGGGAGATTGGGACCCTGAGCTCCCAGTCCAAATGATGGTCTCTGAGCGGCTGTGTGCACATCTGTCCATCACTGAGGGGAAAAATGACTTTATAAGTAAAAGTGACTACAGTTAAGTACAGTGACCCTTTCTCCCTTGAACTTAGTCAAAACCATTCGACAAAAAAAAAAAAAAAACTCATAGTGAGGTCTTAATCGCTCTCCCACCTTTGTCTCCTAGATCAGGACAGGAAAGATAGGAAAGAGTGAGAAAGAAAATTTATATATTAATAGTGACACAGATAGGGAAAAATCAGAATTATGAAAACTGTCATGTCAGAAAATAAATAGGCTCTCTCTGGGGAGCAATATTTTACAAAGCACAAGCAAGCCAGTCCTGTTATCCTGAGTAGAATTTTAATAAATAATGCCATTTGTTTCACTACTTTTAAAACCTATATACAAAGACACATCCTTTTTGCCTGGAGCCTCCATCATTACTGGGATTTTTTTCTGGACACTATCTTGCAGCACTGCAAAGGGCTATCCTGCTGGTCAGCTTTTCATTTTACAGATTATTCACAATGTTGCTATCTTTGTTCAATTTCCCTTTTTTTTCCCGTCCAAGCAGATAAATTATTTTACTTTCACAGTCTTGTCATAAACTTGTTAATACAAAAGAGCTGAGTTAACATATGAATGCTGTGGAGAAGAGCTAGTGGTAAACAAAACTGCATATCTAAATAATGAAAAAATAAATAACCCAAAGCTAAATTCACTCTTTCTGTCATATAATTAACTCAGTCACCACTTTTGATTCAGGTGATGGCCTTTCTAAATACCCTGCAATTCATAATCACCATTAAAGAAGGCAAGAAAACTACTTTTTCTTTTTAAAAGAGCCCAATGAACAGCAATACACAACTCACCTTTCAGAAACAGAATCATACTCCTGGTGTTCTACTAAGTTTTAATTTAGACGGTTTAGGTACAATAGAAAAGAAACCTGAAAACACATGCTGGTTTAGTAACAAATACCAGGTTGCCCGATTTATCCCATATTTTTGCACGCTAGAAACTAGGAACAGAAGAAATCCTTAGTAGGAGTAGGCTACAGATACGAAAGCTTCGAGGGCATGAGAAGTATGGCATTCAGGAAAGTGTTTTTTCACATTGGTACATTTTCAAAGTTTGCCATAAAAAAACCAAGAAAACAACCAAAAATCCCCCCTAAATTTGACAAAAATAGTTGCAATTACTAATGGTCACTTCTACTTCTAACTGCTTCACATAGAGAGCATTAAGACATTTAGGCACTTGATTTTTCCCCCTAATACTGTTCTTTCATTTCAATCTACATAAAAGTGTTTAACACTAAATATGAAAAATGTAAACTTAACTTTTCCCCATCAAAAAAAAGTTATAAGATTGTATTTTTCCTATTCACCTTAATACAACAAGTTCCTCCCAGGTTGGAGGCTGTTATTTTCATTATTTTGACTTCTCTTCTCGTTTTCTCTCTCTCTCTTTCATTTCCTTTTCCTCTACCCAAAAGATTTTTACATAAATTAAAAGGAAATAATTAGAATCCAGTTTATTTGTAATTCCCATTCACTGAAATAAAGAGAAAAGAAAAGCTACTGAAGCAGGCACATAGGTTGCCCAGAACCAAGACTAGTTGACTGGGTGCTTTTGTTTGTTTGGGTTTTTTTTTTCCTGATCTTTATACTGGGAGGAGAAATGCAAAAGTGAAAACAGTCAGAGAGAAGAAGGCAACTAAGCTAAAGATCGATGTTGGTTTGAGTTTTAAAAAGATATTTGTGAAAGTCCACCATTCCTTTATGCGCAAAGAACCCCAGAAACAAGCTGCAAAAAATGTTCTGATTTCTATTTACAAGTGTCCCTAGTTGCTGCTTCAAGGCCCCAGTCCCTCCCTATTTAGGACCCCAAGTCCACCAGACTGGAGGTGAGGGGGCCCAGCAGGGAGTCCTGGAGCTGGTGCTGATGGGCTTGCAGGCCGTGCCCGGGCTGTGAGGCCGTTAAGCCCGGGAGAGAATAGTTTGAACTCCTGGCGTGGCCCATATTGCCCTGCAGCAGAAGGACCGAGTTCTGGTCTGGACTTTGGGGAGGTGAGAATTCTTCTTCTGAGCTGGACATGAGCGGCTTGCCCCCTTCCAGAGGAGAGAGTTGATTCTGCTTGTTGGAGGAGGAGTTATTGTTTTCGGTGTTCTCCCTAAGAAATAGAGGACAACACCATATGGTTAAAAAAAAAAAAGTAGGCTTTAAAAAAAGTGTGAGATGGAGGGAGGGGAGTTGGAAGGAGGAAAGGGTCATTGTGCAATCAGTCATAGACCCAAGTGGAGAAGCTCTGCCCTCCCACCCATCCCCAAGGGTCCTAGGAAAAATGAGGCAGAAGACACCAGAGAAATAGGGAGCTAGGGTCAGAGCTCATGGGGAGCCAAGTTCTTTCCTCTTCCAGATTTTGGAAAGCCAGGCAGGCAGGGCTTATTTGAAACACACAAAAATTATTTTTAAAATTTTGTTCAAGCAGTTATTTTTAAATACCTATCAATTAGCACCACATTTAGAAGTAACTTAGTTTGAAAATCTTCCAACAAATAGTTGTTGGTAATCAAGAAAATGATCAGGATACAAACAGTGCCCAATGCACAGATGTTTGGGGTGAATCAAGTCAATTGTCCTGTTCCCATCTGAGGAAACAATTAAACGTTGAGTTTCCGTGCCCCTGACGGAGGTTGCGGTTCCAAAGACACATGACAGGTCATGGGAAGTGGTGTCCAAAGCGGCCCAGTGACCTGAGTAAACACAGGGAGCACTGCCAGTCTCTCCGATTTCATCAGGGAGTGGGCCCTCCGGCCTGGCTTATAGAAAGGTAGTTTTGTAACTAAGGTCTAACTGGAACCGTCGTGTCCCTGTCCCCGTGTTTCTCGCTCAGCCCTTAGACCCTCACTGCCCTCCCTCAAACTCCCCTCGGACATCCACAACCACGCACGCTCTCCCTGCAGAGGAAACCGCCACCCCGCAAGGCCTGTGGTGGGCGCAGCGTGCCGGGGCGTCAACTCCCGGAGCTCGGCACTGTTACACTTGGATTTCGAAGCCCTCACCGCTTCCGCCTTCAGAGTGCTCGCCCTTCGTCCTCAGCCCTCGTGCCTGTCTGTCTCCCGCTGTCTCTACCTTTCCCTCCGTCTCTCTCCCCGCAAAAGGAGATCTCAGCTGAATTATCCGGGCTCTGTGCTCTCCCACCTAGAGGGGAACGCAGAGGCGACATCTTCGGCCCCCAGGCTCGGAAGCGAACAAAGGAAACCCACCCGGCCCCGGCGCTCAGGTTTCCCCCAAACTCCTGAGCTTCCTGGAGTGCTCTCCCGCCGCCGCCACCGCCGCCTCCCGCGCGCTCTTCCGAACCTTGTTCGCAAACTGCAGCAAATGGAAGGAGCCCGGCCAGGTGGCAGGGGTGTTGGCGCAAGGAGGGTGGAGGCAGAGGCAGGTTTTTTAAAAGACTGTCTTCTGAGCTTCGGAGATATGTCTGCGACTGGAGACCCCCTCCTCGTCCCGGCGGCGGCGCGGACTGTCAGCCAGACGGCGCCGCGGCGCCGGGCCATGCACGAGGGAGCCCGGCGAGGAGCAATCCTTTCTGGGCTTGGGGCGCCGAGCAGTAAATGCAGCGCCAGCTCGCCCAAAGCTCTCTTTGCGGATTTCTTTTGAAAGACTCCTCCCTTCGTACACCTCGTGCGGAATGCAGCGGCGACCTTTCGCCCAAAAGACTACCAGGAGAGAGCAAGTAAAGAACTGGGCGGGGGTGGAGTGGGAGCTGAGCAGATGTCTCTGGCCAGCTGTCTCTGGGGAGTAAGAGAGAGGCTCACGACCCTCAGCCTCACCGAACTCCTTTCCTCGACATACCAATCAACGTTTCCCTTCCAGCTGATCTAGAAACTCACTCTACTCATCCCCCCACACCTCGGCCAGCCAGTCAGGGAGACAGGAAAAACAAACCTAGCGCTACTATTTCCCGACACTCACACCCCCCAAGAAACCCACGCGCGGGCGCTCAAATCAAAAGAGTCCCCATCCCTAGCAAACGATCCCAGAGTTCATGAACTTTCACTGCAGCGCCGCGGAGGCCCCGGCGCCGCCCCGCGGACGGGTTCTGGCCGGCCCGGAGAACGCGGTGGCGGGTGCCTGTTGGGGCGGGAAGGAGAGTAGGGGAAAGGAAAGCTTCCCGGAGTCGCCCGAGCAGCGGGAAGCACGCCGCGTACCTTTCCTTGGCCTCGGCGGCCCGGTCTCTTTGCCTCCGGTTCTTAAACCAGTTGCTGACCTGGGTGGTGGTGAGGCCGGTGGCCTCGGCCAGCTCCCGTTTCTCACGCGGCGAGGGGTAGGGGTTATGCGCGTACCACTCCCGCAGCACGCCCCGCGACTTCTCCTTGAAGCAGTAGCTAGTTTCCTCGCCGTCCCAGATGGTACGCGGCAGCGGGAATTTTCGGCGCACCCGGTATTTGCCCACGGCACCCAGGGGTCGGCCACGCAGCTTCTCAGCTTCCACGTAATGCGCCTTCAGCCACAGTTGTTGCAGCTTGGGGTGGTTGTGAGGCGAGAACTGATGGCTCTCCAGGATCTTGTAGAGCTCCCGGAAGTTGCCTCGGTGGAAAGCGACCACGGCCTTGGCCTTGAGCACGCTTTCGTTCTTGTGCAGGTGGTCGCAGGCAGGCAGCGACCACAGGAACCTGCCCAGGCGCTCCAAGTTCCCGCCTTGCTGCAGAACCTCGCACACGCATGCCACTTGCTCCTGCGTAAAGCCGAACGACGGTAGCATCGACATGGCTGGGGCCTGCCGGGGCGCACTGCCCAGGCGCACGCGGCAGGGAGCAGCGCCGAAAAAGCAGGGGGCGGCGGCCACTGGGATCGGGGTGCAACTGCTCCTAACTCCCTCCTTAGGCTTTCCGTAGGAGAAAAGGCGAGTAGAGATTTGGGGGTGAGCGGACGAGGACGAGGAGAAGGAGGAATGGGGCGGGCGCTGGACACGGAGCAGCCGGCTCACTCCGCAGCCTTTCGGGCCTCTCTGGCCCCAGCCTCCAGCCGGGTGGATGCTCCTCGTTGCCGGGGAACTTGGTTTCTGTTCTCCCCGCAGCGGCCTTAAAGCGCGCAGCGTCCCTGGCTCGCTGATTGGCTGCGGGCGGCGCCTATCCGGGGCTGGCCAGCCTGCGCGCTGCCAAGCCCGGCAGCTAGACCGCACCGCCCCGCGTGGGGAGGGCGAGGGTGTGGAGTCAGGAATAAGGAGTGGTGGGAAGCGAGGGGGTGGGGACGGAATCTGCTCTACTGGGGGCGGGGGCGGGGGTGGGTGGGAGAGTGTGAGCTCGTCAGGAACCTGCAATGTGAGCCCCCTCTCCAGTGTCACTTAGGGGCAGCGGCGCACACCTCTGCACAAATCAATGACCCTAGACCTTCTAATACCCCTCCTCTCCCTCCGTACCCCTGTCCCTGTCCCTTGCAACTTGCCCTTTCCCGGTGAGCTCATATTTAATTACCTTAATGTTGGAATGAATAAGTAATGGATTGATGAATAGCTTTTATGGAACTCAATAAATAATACAAGAGCAGACCAGGGCTCGGTCTCCAGCCGCTGGGAGAGTGGCTTCTCTCTGGGCTGACTTCAGCTCCAGGAGCCAAACCTAATTTCCTCCTCCCTTCTCCTCCCTCCCCCACCGCCCTCCAAAAGGACACAAGTACTCCCAGCTGGATAGCGCTTCCCTCATTCTCAAAAGACTGCGACATTTGGGGACCACGCGAAGAGCTGTTTAGAGCACAGTTGTTGAGCAAATGAAGATTCCAAGGGCTCATTTGTGATTTGGTATCTCAACGTTCCATGGTTTAAGTTAATAGGCTTCTGGACTCAGTTTCCCCATCTGAGCTGTCGTGTTTTCCAAGGCTTACCTGTGCTACCGAGGAATGCCGAGAAGCTTTACTTGCCAATAGGAAAAATACTTTGGAAACCTCGTAAGAAAGGCGCAGAATGGAGTGTAAATTAAATAAAACTGTGTCCGGCTCCAATAATCGTCCGGTTGTAACCTAATCCTTGCCCTGCTCTGAGAGGGACACTGCCCTCAAAGTGAGGATGACAGCGACTCCAAGAAGATTAAATAGGTTTTGTGTGTGTGTGTGTGTGTGTGTGTGCGCGTGTGTAGCAATGCTGGCCTATTTTACTGTCAGGGCATGAGAGATGTTCTGCAACTTCAGTGCCATCATCTGTTATTGTGTGTATGTGGGAGAATGCTTAGTAAAACTGCACAAATGGAGCTGTAATTATCTTAAGCCTCATTTGCACACCTTGTTCCAAAGCAATTATTTAAAAGAGTTTGAAAACAATTGGCATCTCTAAACAAAGATAATCTATTGTCAGTAGCAGAGACTGGAAGGAGATAAGAACAATGCATGGAGATAAGGGGAGCAGAATTGTGGAGGAAGAGTGGCTTTATGACTATACTTATCTCTGATTAGATAAGTTCAAAACAGAATTTTAAGTACACTTCAAAATGCTTTTCATTTAAATGCACCCTCTTGGTGAATGTGAAGAACAAACTCTAGGCTCTTTCTAGTTGCTTGTCTTCTTTTTTTTTCCTTTTTGTTTATTTTGATATCGTTAATGTACGGTTACTTGAACAACATTATGGTTACTAGACTCCCCCTATTACAAAGTCCCACACACATACTCCATTACAGTCACTGTCCATCAGCATAGTAAGATGCTATAGAATCATTACTTGTCTTCTCTGTATATACTGCCTTCCCCATGTCCCCACTTTGTCTGTTTAAATATGTTTTGATTCCATGAACCAGAGCCCAGGTCCACAGAACCATTTGTATATTGAGACAAGTGAAAGAAAGAGAAGCACTGTGCAGGTTTCCCGTTGTATTATTTATATGGTTTTAAAATAATGCACCCACTCCAATGCACCCTGCAATGTACATTTTAAACTCATGAAGAGTTTCCACCTCCTGGCTACTTCTGGGAATATTCCAAGTAGGAAAGCTACTTCTTCCCTTAACTCCCACACAATGCTTTTTGCATCCCTAAAACTCTACAGTATCCCATGCGATTAGACCTTGGAACCAGATGCTGGTATTCTGTTACATTTAGGATTATTTTATAAGTGCACTTAATGGGTGCATACTATTTCAAAAGAGCCCCTACCACATGGTGCGTCCAATGACTTACTTTCTAAACTAGGAGGCTGGCACCGCTAAACCTAAGCCCATGTTTCTGGTAATTTTCCCTCCTCGTCTTATTTTAGTGCTCATGATGTTTCAGATGAAGTCTTAAGTACCTGCAGTGTCCTGCCAGAAGGAATGTCTCTCCTTGGAACAGTCCTTATTGACATGGCAGCTGTGTGAGGACCGGAAAGGAGGCTTAAACTCTCCTCTAAAAATCAGTTAATACCCTAAAGTCTGGAGCAAGTGCGCAGAATTATACTGGGGGAGAGGAGAGTCTGAAAGTACAGTCACATCTCTTAAAAGACAAACGGTAAGCAGAGTATGGAGTGTACTTATATTAACAATTTTGTATAAGGAAGTGAAGCATAGCTTGGACAAATAAGGGCAGGTATAAATTTACAGGGAATGACGAGGAGCCTAGAGATGGCAATTAGACACCAATAGGACCTCCTTTTTTCCGGTTTCTTCCAGACCTTCCTGTCCACTTTTTTTCATCTCTCTTCAAAAGGACCCAGGACGTACTAGATGTTGGTGACAACTGGGTAGGCGATAGTGTGGATGCCGTGATTGCGGGCACCGGGGTTGATGAAATGTGGTGTTAGTCCTCGGAGGCTGGGCCGGGCCCCGCCAGCCTTTTCCCTTGCGTTAAATCCGATGAATCGCGTAACTAGAAAAGAAAATGGCTATACGCTTTGTACCAACGAGCCTACCTGCTATTTCGATCCCTTGGTCAGGGGAACCTATTGTTATAAATGTTAATTATTGGCTCGTATATACAAGGTTTCCCAAAATGGAACCTTTCACTGAAAACCACTAAAAAGAGGTAAAATGACATGAATTTACAAACCACATAAACCAAATGATCCATTTTAAATCGTACACAGAAACGTTTGAGTTGTTCCAGTAATTTAAAACCTTTGCTGTCAATGCAAATCACAGGAAAAACATAGATGCGTCGGAGATTTAAAGGGAAAGAGCAACTATGACTGCTGCCCCCTGGGCTTCGCAGCTCTAGAGGGCAACGCAGCCGGCGAGCGGCGCCCGACGCCAGGTTTCGGCTCTTCTATGCCTCCTCTGTGCAGGTAACAGTCGCGTGCACACAACCGGTCTTTGGAAAGGCCAAAGCATTGGTTGCTGCTGGGGTTTCTCAGCTGGGTGGGCATAGGGCCTCGGTCCTTTAAAAAACCCCTGTCTGGGACCCACTTGTTTCCCTTCTGCCTTGGAGTGAGATGCTTTGGGACTCTCTGCCCGCTTTCTTGGAATTCCTTTGCAGTCAACAACTACAGCAGGCTTCTACTCTACCTACAGATATTTGGAGACGAAGGGCATTAAGAGGTATTTCTTCAATAAATTAGCGTTGTCGCTCTGGGGCAGTGCGAAGACTTCCTAAATCCTTCCTGAAGTAACAATATTCATCTTTTTTTCCTCTGCTTGGTCGGAAACTCCGGGTGCCCTCGACCCTTGGGATCCAGGCTCCGACGGCCGGCGCCGCCCGGGATCAGCCGTCCACCTGCCTCCTGAGGACGCCGCTCCCCGTGAGGTCTGAATAGGCCGAGGGCTAGGGAGGGCGATTTGCGGACCTGGAGAAGAGAAACTCAAAACCAGTCCATTAGTAAATGAGTTTTGTGTTGTCAAGGTTCTTTCCCATCTACTTGCTGTTCTGAAAAATAGATCACGTTTCGTTATCTGTAGTGGGAATCTGCAACGTGACACCGGATCCGCGCTGCCCCCGCCCCTCTTCCTCCCTTCCTTCCAGCGTCTCTTGGCCAGGCCGAGGGGAGCCCGCCACCCTCCTCGGCTTATTTCTGAACAATGAAGATTTGTCTGTTCTAATATATTTATGTATGGAGGGAGTGAAGGACGGAGTTTTCTCCTGCAAGCGGGAGGCGCGCGAGCAGCCCCTCGTTTCCTTGGTGCGAAAACCCAGCACCAGCCGGAGACTCCGGGACACCGCGGTCTCCCCCCCAACCCCACTCACCGCCCACACCTGGACAAACAGAGCGGGCTGCGTGCCCCGCTTGCGCTAAAACCCCCGCCGCCCGGCGCAGCTCCTGAAAATAGTCTCACATTGTCCCGGGGTCAAGGAAGAGAGACTGACACCGCTACGAGGGAACTAGTGGTGGAAAAAGACAGAGCCAGGGTGGGGTGTGTTTGGAGGGGTTATCCTCTTCCTCTGTGTGTGTCCCCACATCTAGTCCCTCTCTCTGAATGTACGTCTCTATCTGATTCTCTTTTCAATCTGAAAGAGGGAGCCTGTTCATTCTGCGTGTGAACGTTTTTCATTCTTCAATTCTCTTTCATTCTGTCTTATCTCTATATAACCCTCTCTCCCTTTCTCTCGCTCATTCTTCTCATTGTTTCTCCTCCCTCTGCCTCTCTGCCTCTCTGCTTCTGTCTCTCTCACACACACTCCCTCTCTTGTCTGGATCTCTTTATTTCTCTCTCGTTCCCCTGTGTACCGCACTGCTATGGGGGGCCTACGCCTCTTTCTGCCCAGGATCAGGCGCTGTGAGGTTCTAAGGACAGAGTATGTTTATGTTGCCCACCCAGGCAGTGCGGGGCAAGTAGACTCTCAAGTCCTGGCAGGGGCGTAGGGTTCAGCCGGTGGAGCCCCACCACGCTGAATGGTGGCGTGGTCAGAAGGTGGGGGAGCCCCGGGTAAGGCGGAGGAAGGTGGGTTAGCCGCCTGAGGGGAAAAGGGCCAACTTAAATGGTGCTTTGAGAAGGCTCTAGCTCAGGGACTCGTCAACCGCCAGATAATGAGCCTGAAGACGCCACTCAACATCAGATGCCAAACACCTTTCTGCAAAGTGGAAGAGAGTGTTGTAAGAATCCGTTCTTAAGAACTTAAGGCATTCTTGTTCCCTTCTCTTAAAAAGATTGCCTTAGGACAAGTTTTTTTTTTTTTAAGATACTCGCCAAGAGCTCTTATCTTCCATTGAATTTCCAATCAACTTTTTTCTCTACTAAGGTACATCTTGAATACCGAATCTGCTTAAGCTAAGAAGAATTTCCTTTTGGGAGGTGAAAGCCTGCAACTCCTATTCAGAGGAAAGTGCTAGTGACGGTAATGCAGGGTGACACTAAATAAACAGTTAGGGTGGACTGGAAAGATGGAGTTAATTATCCAGTGAGCTGCGTTTCAGCCCAGACCATCAGGGGCTGATTTGTTTTGGCTCATAGTCGGAGGAAGGAGACAAACCACTCTCTTCTCTGCCTTTCTTAGGGATCCTGATCGTCGGTGCCTCAAACAAAACAACAACAAAAAACACTACGAATATATCGCTATTTCAATTAAAATTTGGTTTATTACTCCTCCGCACACTGCAGAAATGTCGGGTCCTTTGCTCCATAGCCGTGGAGAGAAGACCCAAAGTCACCTAAAAATGCTCTCCCCGAATAATTTTTTAGAGATCCATGGTAAGGAACCTGGTCATCGGGCACCCCACTTCATCTCTTTACTTGGATTCTTACAAGTTTATGTAACTACGTGTTTAGAAATACTAAGATGTTGGCCTGGTTTTCAGGATGATTTACTTTTCCCCTACAAGAAAAATCAAGCTTCGTGAAATTTTAGATGCAATTAGATTTATTGTTTGCGTGATTCACTGACTATCCAGTTTCCTCAGGTAAGCCTGCGCTTATATATAAATCCTAGAAACTTAAAACTTCTCCCTCCTAACTTTGCTCTCCCTCCTTCCCCACCCTCCCGCTCTCCGCCACATTCTGATATTAATAATCCCCGGCTGCCCCTCTTTCCGGGTCATTACGGTACTGCTGGTCTCTAATCAATCCTAATGCAATGGCAATTGGAGTCCCTGATGACTGCGGCTCGGGTTTCTTGTAATGGCTCTACCACATTTTCCTGGACCTCCTTTTTTAACCTGAGATGCCAGGGGGACGAGTCCCTTCTCGGCTGCTGATTACTTCAAGATGTGGGGGCTGGGTAGAGCAGAAGGAGAAAGACGCGCACAGCGTGGCCACCACTGCGTGTTGGGCGGCTGGGGCGAGCAATGCGTCTGCACGCCCGGCGCCAGGACTGGAACGCCTTTTGCTGGTCTTTTAATTTCTTTCCATTTGCCAGGCCCAAACTTACTTTGGAGGACTAAGGTGAAGATTCTTAGAGCATTTTTTTCTTTCCCGGTGCGGAGACGCCTCGTGGTCTCTGTGCCTTTCCAGTTCTCACCGGCTCTCACCCTGCAGCGTTCTCCAGGGATTCCCTGACTAGGCCTGGCCCACACTTAGGAGTGAACGTCTCTCCCCATCCTTCGAGCCGGCTCCTCTTTCCTCCTGGTTACTTTCTCCTAGTGCCATCCCCTCTCCCCAGTTTTACTATTGTAGCTCCGGACTGGAACTGGGTTCTTCCCCATCTCCCTCACTGACCCTTGACCTCTCCCCTTCCTTACTCCAGCAGTACCCAGCCTGTTCCTGACCCAAAACTGAGGCCAGAAGCTTGGCCCGGTCATGTCGAGATACGACCCCCTTCTCTTTCGACCTCTGAGGGTCCATCGCTCAGAAAGAATCTTTAACCTCTACGGATACAGGCCCAACATTTCGCTGGTGCCATTGCCAGATCGTTGGTGCCAAAAGTGGGAACTTGAGCCCGACCTCCCTCTCCCCAGCCGAAACCTTCCTGCTCTCTTCCCTTGCCCAGGCCCAGCAGCGAGGTGATCAGCACCTTCGCGGCATTTATACTCTTCCACTTCTCAGCCTAAGCCATTTAGCGTAACCCGAGCCCAGGATAATTGCCACGTTTTCTGCCGCGATACCTTTAAAAACAAGATAATGCTTCTGAATTGCGTTTGAAAGTGCTGCGGACAAATTGGGTACTGAGCTGGCGAGATGGATCGCTTTGTTAGGGGCAGCCGGTGGTTTGTGACTCAATTAGTGCCTTTCTGGAAGCTGCCGGCGCTCTGCAGTCGGGTCAGTTTGAGGCGAGCTCCCCCTGTGGTTCCCGGGACCCAGGATGGGTTCAAGGGGTGGGAGCACTTTAGGCCTGTACCTTTGTCGGTGCAAATCCACACCGTGGAAAATGTTTCTGCATTTCCATAGGAGTACATTGTTTGGGTTCTAAAGGATGCAGATTTTCACGGACAGAGAAGCATGACAGCCTCTGCTCCCGATGGGCCGTTCGGCATTGTCTGAAGTACCAGTCCTCTGAGCTGTGGGGAAAGAAATACTATGTGGAGGGTGCAGAGAAGGTGCTCACTTACCCAAGCCCCTCCGCGCGTCTCGCCCACCGTTTGAGTTTGGAATTCGCAACTTCTCCAACCCCGCTGCTGTATTTGGCGCAGCCCTCCTGAAGCCGGCAGGGTGAGGTTTCCAGGCAGCTGGCGGACAGCGAGGGGAGCTTTTAGGGTTTGGAACAAAGCCGTAAGAGCTTTCCTGCCTCTGCTCAAGCTCACCCTTCACCCCTCTCATCACTCCCGGTCCACGTTTCGCTGACCCAGCCTGGGTCCCGGATCAGCCTCTCTGAGAAGTCCTCGCGGCGCGCGGATGAGAGGAAGAGCTCGCCGCGAGGCGTGCTCGCGGCCCCGCCCGCTGGCCCGCTGTGCCCAGCTTGGGGGAGCCGGGCCTCATTCCCCCCAGCTGCGGCCTGCGCCGGGAACCCCTCCCCGGGACCCGTCAGGGCTCCTGGGCGCCGCGTCAGCGCCGGGAACAGCTCCGCCCAGTCGTGCAGGCAGAGGTCCTGCGTTCCAGCCCGGCTGGAGCAGGAGCCAGACCTGAGCAAGCTTCGCACCCCGCTGCTCTCGGGTTCTTCCCCCGGGCGGCATTGGGGCCAAGCGGGGTAGGCGGTGTGAGGAAGGAGGGGACGTAGCTGGGGAGGGTAGGGGCCAGAAGGAGGTGCGGGAGGTCAGAGCAGGGAGGGGGCGCTTGCCGCTGGCGGGCGCGGCCGCGGGAGAGAGAGGGCGCTGTCTTCCTGGCAAAGGATCCTTGGCCTGGCCGGCAGGAACCAAAATAAAAAAAAGGAAAAATTTGCCCGGAAGAGTGCCCAAGGTGAGGGCCGCGCGGCGGGGAGGCGCATGGATGGCAGAGCGGACTCTCAACCCACAGCCTAGGAATCCTTGACCTGCGCGACCTCGCTAGCGCCGCGTAGCCGGGAGCGGGACTCGCGGGAAGGGAGCTTTCTTTGGCCGCTATAGCTCTACTCACAACAGCTTTCCTTCAGATGCATGACCCCCACCCCCTCGGAAAACCAGGCGTCGGTGTAAAGTCGGTGTCGCGTCCCTGGTGATTAAGGTGCCTCAGCATGCCCGAGGCGAGGGGAGTGGGTGACGAATCCGAATCTCCTTTCCCCTAGCAGAGCCCGTTTGGGGTTTTGTGAGTTCTGTGGAAAGGAAACCGCGACGCCATCCAATCCTCACGTAGAAACTCCTCAGCAAGTGGCCTCTCCTGGTTTGGCCGCGCCTTGCCCAGGAGCAGAGAAAAGACTCTTATTAACTGTCACCGATTAGCACTCAAAAGACCAGAGGGTTCTGATGATAGCTACAATCAATCATTCCCCACCCAAACTCACAGATTTAAAATGTGAAGTTACATTAGTTTGGAAGAAACTGCTATCCCTCCATTACAAAAATACACATTTCTCTGTCATCCACAAAGCATAGTATGCCCATAATAAACCAGGCAAAACAAAACAAAGGATCCCAAACTTACTCGTTTTCTGTCTTAAAGTTTCCCTGTTTCATTGAAAGTAGTTAAAGGCCCTCCTGGTTTGGTCTTAGACACTAGAACTAGAACCTTTCATCTGCTTACACATCTTTCACCAGAGAGTCTACAAGTGAATTTCCTGGGTACTTGTGACCCTTCCGTAGTCCTTCCAGCAGAATCCAGGTGGCCCTGTAGTTCTGCCTTTGGCAAAAAAGCTATTTCCAAGGAGAAACTGGGTGGGCTGCAATCCGCCGGCCTCTTCACATTGAGAAACGATTCTCTTGTGGGAACGTCTGTTTCTATTCATCAGATTTTCTAATTTCTTTGATCAGCTTAAATATTTTCTTGGCAAACGGAAATTGACCATGCCATGAATATGATAACAACCTGCTTGGAAAAAAGCTGTTTCGTTTCCAAGTAGCAGGAAAAGGGGGTAGGTGGAGGGGGAGGAGCTGGCTGGTAGGAATGCCTGTAACAGATTCCTACACATCTTTTTTCAGTCTCTGAAAAAGCTTTGTGAAAGCTGCCTTTTTCCCCAGTGTACTTTCTTTCCTTTCTCTCTTCTCAGATAGACATACACCTGGTCTCCTAAAAGTCTTTGATATCTTTACAAAAAAATAGAACTTCAATGGACACCTCTGGAGAATTTCCGTTTAAAATATAGATGAAAGGCAAGGTTCATACAATGTTCTCTTAATCCCTTTGCCTTCTGATTAAAAAATTATTTTCTTCTGCGTGTGATTGTACATCCTGCCATTTGGCTATGGCTATAAGCAAATCGACCAGCAATAGAAGTGTTTTGAGGCTGTATATTAAATGCAACTCTCTTGAAATCAAGGGGAGGGTGGGGAAGAGAGGGAGGAGTCTTACTTCACAGGCAAGAGTTGGTGGGTTTCTGAAAAATCTGCAAGAAAAGGACCTTTCACCTCTCATTAGTGATGCCATCAGTGCTCGGGCAGAGTGGAGCGGAGGTCATGTTACATATGGCACACAGTCTGCTCTGCACTTGAAACGTCAGCTTTGAAATTTTAGAGAGGGGAAAGGTCATCTTTAATAAGCTAAAGTCTGCAGCTCCCATTGCCCTCATTGCAAACTGAGTGGGTGTCCATATGCTTCAAACCTTCTGTACAAGTTTTTTTTTTTTTTGGTTTGCAGTTTTAAACTGATTTTTGTTTCACATCTTCATTCAGGCCATACTTTTTTCAGCTGTTAATACTGCAAAAGGTCTTTCATTTTTATAGCAACTCTGTCATCGTTTCTTTTCATGCAATCAGAAGACCGTCTGTTCTGAGTGATAGCTTTTAGAACTCAGCTTCCCAAGAGAAATGAAGTGTATCTGTCCATCTGCATACATGGATCCAGACTTATGGGCTATAGGGTTACCCTTCTGAGTGGGTAATTTAGACTTCACTCTTGTATACTACATAATTTACTGAACCTTCAAAACATTAAAACTTCCATATTATGTAAAAGATCTAGTTTTTGAAAACTTCGTGGGTACTACTAAAATTTTTCATGCTAGTTACTGAAATTTCGTATTTTATTTTTACCATGTGGGGGAAACTTCCAAATCAGAATATACTGATTCTTCTATAAGGCTTAAAGTTAAGGCTAACTGACAGATGCTATACAGCTCTGGGGGTGGGGGGGGAGTGCTAATATCTCACTTCCTTGTTTAGAAAATATAAGGAACATTTGTGAATGTTTAATCCTCAAATCTGTTCAAGAAGTGAAGTCAACCAAAGTCAAGACACTGAACTGTCCCCAGATCTCTTTGTAGCCACTGTCAAAATAAATGCAAATAGTTCTCTTACACGAAACTCTGCAAGGAACTTCTTAGTAGCGATTTGTCATTTACTAGGTTTTAGAAACTTTTTCCCTATAGACCTATTGTCCAAGAGGAACAGATCACTACACCATTACATGCCTTTCTCACTTACTTTATCTGTCAACCCATTTTAGCTCGTTATCATATATCCCAGATTTTGGTTATTTTTTCCGGTTTTTCCATTTTTTACATAAGAGTTATATATTTTGTTCTTAAAATAAACTTAAAAAAATAAGACAACTGTATATGATAATCGAGTTCAAACAATAGACTCAATGACATTTAAAAATTCCATCTCCCACTCTACAAATTGAAAACATTGGAACAATCTTCAAATATCCTCTTGAGCCATTTAGGGATTCCTCATTACTAAAGAATTTAATGACTGTGATATGCGGGTAAGTGTTGGTTTTTTGCCTTGTTTCTGGTTAGATTCACAAAAATCCTTAATTTTGGATGAGCAAAAATTTGAAAGAACAGTCTGAATAATAGCAACTGAAACTATAGATGAGTAGAATGATTTCACATTCAAGAATGACATCAAGTAAATAATTTATTTCTAATCACTTTCCTACATTAGGGTTTACTGCTAATAAGCTCGCAGACTCTGTGATACTTTAGCTAACCCAAAGCACTTGAGGCTTTGATGACCCCAATGGTTTAGGAAGTTCAATCAATCTAGTCAGTAAAAAGTCAAGATAAAGATGCAAAAATTATAGTCTCAAGGAGTGCATGTGTGTTTCAGAGGTAATGTTGCTTTCCTTGTTTTTGTGTTTGACTATGTTTTAAACCTCCCAAAAATACTCCAGGAAAATTTAAGAGCAGACTATGTCACTCCAGTAAGCCTGCAAATCAAGAAGTGAGATATTTTAAGAGGCAGATTCATTACTAACAGGTCGATAATTCCTTAAAGGCCTATAGAAGGAGTACTAGTATTTACACTTTTTATAGGATGCCTCACTAAAGAACCTTTAACATTTTACAAGCCTGATCTCATTCATCTTCTCAGAACTTTGGGAAGTAGTATTCTTATTACAAAGTGATTATCCCTATTACAAAAACATGGCAGAAAAATTGCATAATTTGCCCATGCAATTATAATTCCAATGCAGTTTGGAGATAAAAGCTATGAGTCCCAGACCCCTCCCAATTTATCTAAAAAAACTATTTTCCATAAAGAGATCAGTGATTAAACTGATTCGGATTCAGTGAGCCCTTGTAAAATGTGATTCTCCTTCAGTTAGATTCTATATTTCAGGCTCAAGATTTGTGAGGAGTTTCATGAATGTCTTTAAATTACCAAGATAAAGAAAATATAACATGAAGTGGCATCAGTTCACATAGGTCTGGTAATTCTTCCATCCTGCCTGGAAATAAGCCATAGTCTCATGAGGTAATTACTACAGCTTAACTGTCCCACAGAGAAACTATTAAGTGTTCACAAACAGGGTTACACATTCAATGACACGGTTTGGCCTGTGCTTTCAATGCTTACAATTCTGTCTTTGGCTTATTTAGGAGAAGAAATAGTAGAAATTCGAGAAAAATTAAGGATTTGGTTAATCTTGAGGGCAGGGCTTCATAAATTTTACTGGGCATGCAAATGACTTGAGGCACCTGTAAAAGGCAGCTTACTGGGCCCTGCCTGTAGAGTTTTTAATTTCCTGGGTTTAAAGTGGGATCCTGGAATCTGCATTTCAACAAGCATTCCAAGTAATTTTAACGCAACTGGTTAGTGGGCTATTCTTTGAGAATAAACATTCACTCTCTTCGAGGTAACAATAAAAAAGGAAGGTTCTATCAGCAGGAACAAAGTTTAAACTCCAAATTTTGACTTAACCAGAACTTATTTTCTCTGTATGATATTGAAAGAGAACTTTTAGATTGGGTTTTTACAAGGTGGGGAGGTGGATCTATAGGAACATGATGGAAAACAAGGAACCAGTTATTGCCTCCTGAAAGCCATCTAAAAAACCAAAAGGTTTTTTGAACATCTCCCAATATGCATGACCCCTTTAGAGGAGTAGTGTAACCCAAATGGGCCTCCTGCCCCAAGAGTCACAAGAAATGGAGATGCTTTGGGGAGTTGCCACAGTATGATAAAAAGAATGGAACATAAAATCTAAGAGGAAGTTGTAAGTGGTTGTCTATACTGCAAATAGTGGTCATTTGTTGTTTATAAAGGTACAGAAAGGATTTTCATAATAAAGAACACAACCACATAGTCACATACAACCACATAAAACTTCTTGCTTCTAGAGGGAGATTAAATACTGAGAAAGATTAGCATTCAGAATTTATTTTTATCCCTTTAAAGATCATTTGAATGAGATCATGGAAACATGAACACCAAACTCTGCTGTTGGAATAGGCCAAGAAGTCATTAGCTAAACCTGCCACTCTAAGTAGAATCCCTCAGAAAACAGTCTTGATGGGACAACCCTTGCTTGAGAATGGAGAACTCACTACCTCACAGCTCTTTTGCATGTTTCACAACATAGTAGCAACAATGTCACATGGAATCCATGGTCCCATACAAACCAGGT